TTAAGCAAGTTTGGCCACCCCTGCTGTAAAGGAAGCAATCAAACATTTGTTTCAAACATCCCTCCCTTTGTAAATGACCTAGAAGTCCCATGTCTCATCCTTAAGCGGCAGGAACTGGTATGGTAGACAGGCACAGGGTTTGAAAACTTCTCAGTTACAATGTTTCTGCATGGCCTTCTTCAAGTCATTCATTCTTTCTAGATGTTATGAATGAAAAACTACTGATTTTTAATGGAACATAACAACATAAGAGAAGCCAATGTTGGATCAGGCCAATGGCCCATCCAGTCCAACACTCTGTCACACAGTGGCCAAAAATACCAGGTGCCATCAGGAGGTCCACTAATGGAACTGCAGCTTATTACATGGGTTTCATCACCCAAGCTTTTTCCATGCCTCTGTCCACACAGAAAACAAAGCTGCACTTACCTGTAACTATTGTTCATCGAGTATCTTCTGTGCAGGCACACATGGGGACTGCACATGAGCAGGCCTCCCGTCAGTGTGCCGGAGCCAGAAACTTGTTCCCGCCCAGGGACTACGTGCTCCTGCACAGCAGTGCCCCCTACCCTCAGTACCTCTAGTGCTGTCAAAGCCAGAGCATGCAGTGGAGCACAAGGCTGAATATGTGTGCCTGCACAGAAGGTACTCAATGAACAATAGTTACAGGTAAGTGCAACTTTGATTTCATCATCAATCTTCTGTGCAGTCCCACATGGGGATTCTAGCAAGCTACTCACCAGGTGGTGGAGCATGCTCTTCTTACTTGAACAGCAAATGAAGAACTGCCTTGCCCACTTCAGCCTTGCATCTCGCCTGCAGACCCAAAGCGTAGTGATGTACAAACATGTCTGTCGACAACCAGGTGGCAGCTCTGCAGATCTCTGTCAAAGGCACCCCATCCAGGAAAGCTGCGGAAGAAGCCACCACCCTAGTGGAGGGGTCATGAATGTTCAATGGGCATGGCAATCTGGCCCTGTTATAACACTCCTAATGGTCCTGACAATCCATCGGGACAGGGTCTGAGATGACGCTCTCCTACCTCTCTTAGGGCCACTAAAACAAACAAGCAGGGCTCTATCCCTGCAAAACTCCAGGGTTCTCGAGGTAAAATAATAATGCCCTCCTAACATCTAAAGAATGCAACAAGTGTTCATTCTCAGAGCTTGGTGCAGGAAAAAATACGGGCAAAACAATATCTTGGGATAAATGGTACCTAGAAACTACCTTAGGAAGAAACCTAAGATGAGGGTGAAAGATTACCCTTTCAGGAAAGAAATTCAAAAATAGGAGATCTATCTGAAGAGCTGCTAGCTCACTCACCCTCCTAGCTGAGGTAACAGCTACTAAGGGACATATCTTCATGGAAAGTTCTTCCAAAGAATAGGTAGCAAAGGGTTCTAACACAATAGACCGAGATCATTGGGGCACTAAGGGATCCCTGGGAGGGTAGAGATTACCTAACCCGTTAAGAAACCTCTTAGAGAAATGATGGGAGAAAACTGATCCTTCCTCAATTCCTTTGAGATAGCAAGAGATGGCCGCTAGGCGAACCTTCAAAGAAGCAGAAGCAGAAGAAGAAGAGGAGGAGGAGGAGGAGGAGATTGGATTTGTACCCCTCCCTTCACTTGGAGTCTCAGAGCGGCTTACAAACTCCTTTCCCTTCCCCTCCCCACAACAGACACCCTGTGAGGTAGGCGGGGCTGAGAGAACTCTTTCCAGAACTGTCCTTGAGAGAATGACTCTGACAGAACTATGGCTTACCCAAGGTCATCCAGCAGCTGCAAGTGGAGGAGTGGGGAATCAAACCCGGTTCTCCCAGATTAGAGTCCATGCACTTAACCACTACACCAAACTGGCCCTTAGCTTTCAGGTGTAATAAATCAAATACAACCTGCAATGGGGCACCACCTGGGAACACATCCTTCTCACTACACCAGAGGGAAAACTGATTCCACTTATACATATAGAATTTCCAAGTGTTAGGCTTGTATGATTGCAGGAAAACGTCATTAACCTCCTTAGAAAATAGTAGGTCTCTGTCTGAAGCCTCCAGGCTATCAGGTGCAGTTGGTTCAGATCATGACGAAGCACCTGGTTGATGCTGATTAAATCTGGTTGGTTTGGTAGGGGAAGGAACTGACCCCGGAAGACCTCCGTAAGGATCGGAAACCATATTTGACAAGGCCAAAAGGCTGCAACCAGGATCATGTTAGATCTCCTGGCCTTCTCTATTACCCTGATAAGGTGTGGGAATGAAGGGAGCGTGTAAAACAGGTCTCACTGCCAACGCAGCTGAAACGCATCCCCTAGGGAACCAATTCCTACTCCTGCTTGGGAACAGAACCTTACAGCCTTCTTGTTCTCTTGTGTTGCAAAAAGATCGACATCTGGAACCCCCAGAGGGTAAAAAGTGGTTCTAGATAAGTGGGCTTTATGGAACACTCCCTTTCAGGAAAGAACTTCAAAAATGGGAGATCTGTCTGAAGAGCGAGAGTGAGTCAGCCCTGCTCAATCTGTCAGCTTCCGTGTTTAAACTCCCAGGGATATAGATAGCTTGAATGGAAGCACCGAGCTTCACTGCCATGTCTCATGCAAGGGTAACCTCCTGATATAGACCTCTGGACCCTGGACCCCTTTGCTTGTTTAAATAAAACATTGTTAACTGTATTGTCCATTTGGACAAGAATGGATTGGTTCCAAAGGATATCTGAAAAACAATTCAGGTCATAATGAACTGCTCGCAATTCTAAAACGTTAGTATGCAGCAGATTCTAGCCAACAATCCCTCACAGTAGGTACCCCAGCCCGTGTGAATTGTCCGTAGTAAGGACTACCTCATGCTCAGAAACTCCAAAGGAAATCTTCAAAAGGTAGGTCTTTAACTTTAAGCCTGGTCTCCATAGGCAGGGCCCATTGATCTCAACCATGCGTGGTGCCAAAGTACCATGGAGCTCGGCATGGCCCGCGCAGCTGAATCTGCAGAATGTTGTCTTGCATTAATTTGCTGTTTAGAAAGTGCAACAGCTGTTTCAAAAGTTCAACTTTAGCAAGGTGATACTTATCTTCCAGTAGGAGTTCCAGGAACGGAAGAATCCTCTCCCATAAGAAGAGCTGATAACCACCCATAATGGTTTCATAGTTGGTAATTCTGAAATCTAAGGCTGCTGAAGAATATAATTTTCAACCCAGGACATCCATATTTTCTCTCTTCCCCTTCTGTGGGAGCAGAGTGATATGCCTGACAGCCCTTCGGCTGCATCTCCTCCCTAACCAAGGAGGGTGGTGGAG